CGTGGGGCGGGGGGGGGGGGGTCCGGAAGACGTCCTGAAATGAAGTAGGAAGAAAATCTAATGTCATTTACCCTTGCAGTAATGAATACAAGTGCCGTGATGACCAACCAGCTTATGCCAGCCGGTCTCTTGGTCCAGTTGAACCCTTGTGACGAAAGCTTCTTTTGGGTCAAGCACGTGCCGGTAGGCAGCCAAGTACACCGCCGGTGGGCGTTGTTAACCACCACCACCACCACCACCACCACCACCCCTTTTCTTTTTTTTTTGCACGGGGAGAATTAATTCAGTAGTGTCCGTATCAGCCCCCGCGCCATTTTTTTCGGAAACAAACGAAAAAGGCGCTCGCAAAAAAAAGATGGTCGTCAAGGCCTGTGACTGAATCGAGCATGTGGTCAGGTCTGACCACGCCTACATGTATGTGTCGTGCACGTTTTGCAAGCCGGAGTTATGGGATGGCCACCCTATGCATACATGTAGATAAAGCCAATACACAAGTGAAAACTCCACGGTGTACTACTCTGAAACCGGTATTGTTTTGTCTTGACAGGATACCTTCTCAAAGGTGACGAGACAGCACACCGTTCGTAGCAAGTCAGGCACGGTATAATCTACGAGCATCAAGATGTCGCCCCTTCCTCCCCTTCCTGGTTACTGTAGTGAGAGAGAGAGAGATCGACTCACCGGAACTCGCCATTTTTGTTCTGCCGCCACCTCCGCTGGCGGCCGATCGATGGCTGGCGAAAAAAAACAGAGAGGCCACACGCACACACACACGTGCTTTACTGTACTGGTACATTGAACTGGCGCCTCAACACGATCTAGAATCAAGTACATTCTACAGACCTACAGGGCTAAATGACCAATACACCTTTAATACACACACGCCGCAGCACTAACTACTATTATTATTGTACAGCATACAAACGCGGACTCTTTACAACAATGAGCCATCAATAAACAAATCATCTCCTGGCGACGAAAACACGCCCTTTCGACGTTCAGTCGCTTTACGCTGGACAACGAGGAGGCCGTCGAAAAAACACGACCCCGACCCGCTTCTTGGGACCCCCCCCCCCGAAAAACGTACTTTTTATCCCGCTATAAAAAAATGACGGGTCTTCATCGGGCAGTCGGCTACAAGGGTCGGGCGAAGCTACTTTAAAAAAAACACACACACACACGTTTTTTGTTTTTAACCGCACTCGAGAATGAAGCATTTTTATTGGGCAGCCGGGTAGCGTGGGCCCCGCTAAAAACAAACACAACGTTTAACGGCACACGTGAACACTTTGGGTCCCCCCCTCCCCTCGGAAAAATAGAAACTAAATCCCAAGTGTATTGGCGGCAAAGGGAAGCGCCTCTGCCCCAAAACGACCGCCAGTCAGTCCATCTCAGGGTGGAAAGAAGGGGCCCCGCAACATAAAGCAACAACACAAATGGGCACCCCCTCCTCCTCCTCCACCACCAACAAGAAGACTGACAA